CTCCTCTGGTGGGACTGTGCACCTCCTGTATCAAGTGGACTGACTGTGGGACTGACTGTCTCTGTCTTGGTGCGGGGAGGGGAGACACTGCTGCAGGCCTGGCTGCTAGCTACTGTGTTATCAGCTACCAATCAATCATGAGTCACTCAGGGACCAGGGACTCAGGGACCAGCTCAATACACAGGATCTACCTACTACATAACGACTTAACGAGCATCAATTAGCACCTACAAAACCAGGCTAAGGAGAGGAAAGAATCAATACAGACCATCAACTGCCCCAAGACAGATGCAGTCTTGGCACGAGTTTTGTCTGTCAGCAGCCAGAGGTGCAGGGCCCCAGAACCCCCCTGCACCGACCTCCACAGCTGGCAGGCGTCATGGCCTCAGCAGGGGCCACCATCCCTGCAGCTGTCACCCTGCTGTGCCTTAACACACACAGGGTCACCCATGGCATGAGTTTTGCTTGTCCACAGCTTGAGGTGCAGTTCCCCCCAACCCTCTGCACTGATCTTCTTGAAACTTGGCAGGCTTTGTGGCCTCAGTAAGAACTATCACTAATGCAGTTTTGACCCCCCTGTGTTGTAACACACAGCCATGACATGAGTTTGGCTTTCATGAATTTGGGGTACAGTTCCCCCCAAACCCCTGCACTGATCTTCTTGAAGCTTGGCAGGTTTCATGCTCTCAGCAGAAGCTACCGTCCCTGCAAGTTTCATCTAAATCAGATAAGAAAAAACAAAGTTATAGATATTTAATTGATTCCCCATTATACCATATGGCTGCATCTCCGAGGTGGCTCCAAAGCTTCGAAGCCGCTTCGGCCAGATCAAGGCGGAAACCCGGTCCAGAGCTCTGGATCCGATCGCAGCCATCTGAAGCAGCCAGATCCAAAGCTGGATTAGATCGCTGCAGACTCACACAGGCCTAATCAGCAGAACTAGAAATGTAGTTTAGATCTAAGGTTATGTGCAATTAATATTAGTATTAATGTTGAAGAAACATCAACTACAGATACTGCAATGGCATGTTAATATTTAAAATGTAATCTGAAAAAGATTGTTGTTTGGTGTAAGATCAATTATAGAGAATGTCAAGAAAGTAGAGTAGGTGGATGATTATCTCCTCAGCACCAAAGTTAACTTATTTCAATACTACCCTTAGACCTTATATTATAAAATTACAGAATGGTTCTGTTTTGAGTAACTTCCTAACTTTCTGAGAAAATGAAATTATTTACTAGTAACTATGGTTCTTTGATTTTTTTCCACACACATTTCACCTGGGGATGCGTATCATGCCCTGAGCCCTTGATCAGACTTTTTGCCTTAGCAATACCCACAAAAAACACTGTTGCACTGCCTCCCTTCCTGCTCCATACTGATGGCATAAAGGATGGCACAATTCCTGTTCCTCAGGTTCCTCTCAACAGCAAAATCCTATATTATGTGTTACAAGAAAGAAGAAAAGGAAGGCAGGATTTGAATGTGTAAGTGGACAATAATGGAAGTAACTCCAGTTATTTGGGTTTTTTTTCCTTCAAATAATAAACTGCGTACACTTTCTCATTCACAGATGACTCCAAAGCCATAATTGTACTGAGTCATACTGAGCCTCAACAATTGACTCAGCATGCAGGAAAGTCTAGGACCCTTTCTGCTCCATCCAGAATCTGGTGGTTGTAGGCTGACAGGTTGTAGTAAAGGCTTTCCAGATGTGCTCTTAACTGGTGATCTCCCTCTGGAACATTCAGGGGGTCCATCCAATGCTAGCTTCACTGGCACTGAGGCTGACACAGGTTCATGTGGAGATTTGGTGTCAGGCTGCATAGAGGATCTCAACATGGGATCTGAGGCCAACCCAAGTGTCCTTTCAGGGGGAAGAGAGTTTCAGCTTCTAATGGTGCCTGGTAGGGCTGTGCAAAACAGCACCATTCTGCTTTGACTTCCATTTCAACATTTCAATGGAACAGTGTTTCATTTGAGTTCCATTTAGTTTTGAAAGCACTGTTCCGTTTCGTTTCATTGAAACTGTTTTGCCATTTTGATGCTGTTTCGATGTGTCGCCCATAGGCTATAATGGGGAAGCACAAAACTTCCTAAAACATTGTCATTTCTTGTCTGATTCAGAAGAAACTTGCAGGGATGGTAGCCCCTTCTGAGGGCATGAAGCTTGCCAAGTTTCAAGCAGATAGGTGCAGAGGGTTCTGGGAAACTGCACCTCGAGATGTTGACAGGTAAAACTGTCACTTGCTGGCTGTGGCAGCCTCCTGTCATCCAGCAGGCAGATCCAGGGACCCTCACCCTCAGGAGGGCTGTGCTGGACTCCTTCCAGGGGTGCAGGCCCCCGATCTGCCTATTGGATGACAGGAGGCTGCTCCTGCTGCCTGGGAAGATTGGTGCTGCTGCTGGTCCCAGGTGGCAGGAGCAGCCTCCTGTGATCTGGCAGGCAGATCAGGGGCCTGTACCCCCAAGAGGAGTCCGGCATAGCCCTGGTAGTCCTCCTGGGGCTGCGGGCCCCAGGATCTGTGCACCAGATGACAGCATGCTGCTGCTTTGAAATGAAATAAAGGCACTTGAAAAATTTCAAAACTTTCAAAACATTTTGAGTTTTGAAGCTGGGCTTACTTGGCTTCAGCGCTGGTCCCAGCCAGCAGCAGCCTCCTGTCATCCAGCGCAAATCCAGGGGCCGTGCTCCCCGGGGAGGATTCTGGCACATCCCCAAGCTCTCCTGGGGGCTGGGCCCCTGAATCTGTGCACCAGATGACAGCATGCTGTTGCTGCTGACTGGGGCCAGCAGCAGCACCAATCTTAGTTGTACCCACCACTGGGGGAGCCCAGCATTGGTCCCAGCAGCCTCCTGTCATTCAGCAGGCAACAACATGCTGTCATCCAGCACACAGATGCGGGGGATCGTACCCCCGAGAGGGCTGGGGGATATGCCAGAATTCTCCCAGGGGACGCGGCCCCCAGATCTGCACTGCATGACAGGAGGCTGCTGCTGCTAGCTGGTACCGGTGCTGAAGCCAAGTAAGACCGACTTCAAAACTCAAAAACATTTCGAAACTTTTGAAATGTTTTGAGTGCCTCTGTTTCGTTTCTAAGCTGTTTCAATGGCTTTTGTTGCATTTTGATTTTGCAGTTTTGAGCTCAAAACACATCAAAACACCTTTGAAATGAAACATCCAGCAAAATTTCACATAGCCCTAGTGTCTGGCAGCACTGAATTTGAAAAACTGACATACTGGGTATGTCTACATGAGATGTGTTACTGCGCAGATGCCTAGTTTACTGCACAGTAAACATGTGTGTTTACATGTGCATGTGCTTAGTGCACATTAACAAACCTTAATCGTGATTAAATTTGCTACGTACAACTGCAAGTAGAAAATTTAAAAGTGATTAGTTAATGTGCAAGGGCTGCCAGTCCCGTGCTGTGCCCTGTGCTGGGCACTGCTGGCAGCTGCGCAGGGCTGGCAACAGTGGAACACCCATGCAGGGGTCCAGAAAGCCAGCATGGGGCCCAGCATAGCCTTATCCTCACAATCCAGGCTTAACATCACCCATGTGTACACTCCTGTGCCCTCCATTTTGGGCCCCAACTGGAGCCAGGAGGAGACTGGTGAACTTTTGGCGCTCTGGGGTGACATGGAGGTGCCGAACCAGTTTGAGCAAGGTGGGCACTCCAACACCTACATTTATGAGGCCCTGTCAGGAGCAATGCAGGAGCAAGGGCACAACCAGTCAGCAGCGTAGGGCTGCATAAAGTCAAGGCCATGAGGACATAGTAGGTCACCGTGACCAACCACAATTGTCAGTCTGGCTGTGCTCACAAGACACCAACATTGTGGTGCTCTGAGACCCAGGCCACAGCCATACAGTTTACACAAGCATGGGCAGCCTACAGAGCCCCCGCCCCAGCCTGGCACCTCCAGTGACACGTCATTGGAGGAGGGACCTTTGGGCATGCAGCACCCTGTCCTGCCCAGCTCCCCAGTTGCAGTTTCTACCAGCAGTCTAGGCCGTGACATGTGTGGCCAGTCT